GACTTGTTGTTCTATTGATGTTGGCGGGCCTGCTAAGAACAATGTGTAGGGGTTACTCCTGCAACGCCGACCTTTAATTGTTCGGAAAACCCTGGGCGGCACTACATCCAATCTTCGTCCTGTGGATTTGGAGGAGCCAGTTGCAGCTTGTGCGCAGAGCAAACAAAAGCAAGCACACGGCCCAAGGCTCGATTTGTCTTGATTAGTTGGTGTCAAACCGGGGAAGCCAAAAGGCCCAAACAGTCGTGTGTTTTTCCTTTTAGGTTTTCTCCTAGACCAACCCAAAAAAGGGGTACGAGCCTCCTCAACCCAACACGCACACAGAGTCGACTCCAGGTCACTCCTCACACGGTCCACTCCGGCAGCGAAGACAAGCTGGTGGTCACCTATGCCGAAACCTGAGCGTTTGCCATAAGGAATGACAACATCCATTTGCTTAACAACATTTATTTTCCCTTGCTGGTTTTAAAGGGAATCTATCACTACTGAAAATATTTTTTTCCCAGGGGGCTTAAGCAAATGAATGACAAGATCGGGTGTGCGCGGGAAGTGTTGCAAAGGGATCCCAGAAAGGATACTGGAAATGGGGCCATCCCATTTGGAAATTCGCTGACCAGCAAAAAATCGGGTTGCCCCAACAAGCGAACAAGGTCTAATAAACCATGTGACAGCTGTCGGGGGGTCCGGGAAATGGTTGGTTCCCTTTGGCTTCCCTTTAAGACCAACCAAAAGGGGGATACCCTCAAACGAGAGAGACCCAAATATCCCCATACCCAAATTGATGGGGAGAGGTGGCGATCCACATCCATGAAGAAAGCTTCTCTTCCACACGCTTTGATTCCCAATGTCTTCTGGTAGTGGTTTCCCTTTTGTAGTGTCACACTGGTGTGTGAGTCTCCCTATTTCAAAACACCCCCATGTCGAGTCATGGACCCTCCAAGGTTCATCTTGCATTTCCAGGCGCCTCGTTGCAAAAAAGAGGGTCTAGACACCTCCAGTAGCTGCTTCAAGGCTTTATATCCCAAAGTTTGGGCCAAAGAGGGAATTGTAACCCAACGATTCAAAGGGCACGTGTTCCCCCTTTCAGGACCCTCAAGTGCTCCAACTTGGATTTTGACTGGGAATCAACCAGGCCCAAGCTCTGGCGATGTAGCGCTGGGTCAAAACCCCGTACCCCCAGTAAACATCCCAATCCCCACCAAAATCGGTTCTAAACTAGGTGGTGAATTCACCTATACCCCAACATGGGATCCCATTGGTTTTGACAACCACTGCCATGTATTTGGGTGTGTCTCTTGGGATTCTCCGTGGGCTTCCAATCCCAACGGGCCGCGGGCCGGACCGACCCTGAGGACCTAAAGCAAAACAAGGCGCTGATTCAGCACACCTCGCGGCTCGGCTGCGGTTTGTGTGGCCTCACATGAGCTCAGAGCCACGTGCTCAACACCGATTCGGGTACTTGGTGGCTCCCAGCCATCCGGTTCCTTAGCTTTGTAGCGTTTTAATGTTTAGTGGGGGTTTCCATTTAGCCCACTAACAGGTAAACTTTTGGCGGGGGATCTGAGGACAGCTCAGGGTACAGGAAGGTGAAGGGACAATCCCCTTGCCACAAATAGCTGCGGATATCTTCCTTTGAACCAATTTTCGAAGCACGGTTCTGGGTAGATCATTTTTGACACCGGGTTTTGATTGTGACTCAATTGGCAACTTCATTCAGTTGAGCGCCAGCGGTAACAGAATGTGGAGGCGTCCCTGGAAATTCAGCACCAAACAACCGGGGTGTCCTTTTTTCGCTCGTGGCAAACTAGGCTTCTTGGGTGGATTTAAAGGGAACCCGACAGGAACCCCACCTTTGTTTGGTTGGTTTCCCGGATTTTGCCCGCTCCCGCGCCGCTTACAGAGGACATCACCAGGGCGCTCACCGATGATGAAGGTCTTTCATAGATCCATTTTTCGGTTCATGCATGTTACCATTTGCACAGAAATATCGGGGATTTCGTTCCCCCCAGCTTCATCCGTCCCAGGCCGTGCACCCGGTTTGTGAAAGCCGAGGGTACCCTAATCCGTTAAAGGGGCCCCAAGTCAAGTCAACAGGTGGCGCAAGCTGTACTTTCATTTGAGAAGGAAAGGTCTGTATTTTCATTGGATATGGCTGTGGGTCAAAAATAGGTACCCCAAATGGAACCCTGGTAAGTGGAAACATGGACCAAAACCTGCGGTCCATATCCTGGTGGTTTAATTTTGACCCATACCCATATGCCAGCTCCAGGTCACTTGAAACACCAAACTGTCCCAATCCTATGCTCCCTAAAGACGGTGCTGCATGCTCTTAGAGCTTCCCCGACTTCAAAATCCAGTGACTTTCCAAAAATGGGGGGACTCCAAACGAGGGTGGTGTCCTCGTGGATTTGAGTACAACAACTAGAAGAGAATGGGTCCCTCAGTTTGGAATCATTAATTGACATAGGTAGTCGTCCTTACCTTCGGTTTTACGATTGCGCGTCAACGATGCTGGAACCCTGGCAGTCGCGTGCACACAAGACAAGGCTGCCCATTCTTGTTCACAATGTGAAAGTAGAATCTTGAGGGAGCAAGTGGTTCGTGAATTGCACAACTGACACATCCTGGATATTCCCTTTGCTTTGCATCTGATCTCAATCTAGTTGATCTACCAGGAGGGCGGGTGTGCCAGGGAAGAGAGGATCCGAATCACCGCGAGGAACACGCCCTATTAATTTGCTTGCGCTCTTCAACCTCTCCCATTGTTGGTTTTCAAGGGAATCGATCACTACTGGCAATATGTGTAGTCTTTTTCTGGGAGACTTACTCAAATGGAGGACCAAGGGTTGACATTGCGGTTCACCGAAGGGGGTGGCATTTGGCAAGGCTCAGCAGCAACATCACCGGCATCACCCAGCGGAAGGACCACGACAATGAGGCGAGGCTGTTGGAGGCTTTGGGACTGAAACGTGGGGTTGTGTGTGTGTGTGTGTGTGCGTGGGTTTTAAGGGTGACCTGTTGGGGGCGGTTTTCAAGGGAGACCAAAAACAACAAGAAACCATGCAATTTTGGCACATACCCACATGAAGCAGCCTTTTCAACCTTCTGCAAATAACAAAATATTGACTGGAAAGGAGCGTAGGGGACGTGTCGCCAGGGGTTAATGCAGGAAGATTCTGGGGCGTGTTTCCGGACAGTGCCAACCTTTCGGGGGGGTATAAAGTCGGGATTCACATTCATAGCTGTCAATATGCACAAATCCGACTATAGCACTGACATCTAGGTGTGTATGCATATATTATCAGTATGGCTATATATATATATATATATATTGATGTGTATATATATATATATATTGCAACAACAATGATAATAAACAATAATAATGGTGATAATAGTAGTAATAATCATAATACCAATGATGATCATGGTGATAGTGATAGTCATAATGATAATTATAATTATAGCTATAACTATATTTATAATGATAATAATAACATACACATACTCATGTTTATATTGTGGCTATATATTTTGGAACATGCACAATAGCCTTGCTTGTTTGTTCTCTGCTTCCCGTGCTTTTCTGCACGCTCTGCTTTGGCCTGTGCTTTTCTGCTTCACGCGGGTTGCAAAAACCCGCGGTGTCAGGTGGTGAGCTGCTCCCAGGATGGCAAGCTCCTGTTCTGGGACGTGGACTACCCGGATCCCACAGGCCAGCCCAGAGTTGTGTGTGTGTGTGCGTGCGTCTTTTTGTTAAAACTCCCCTTGTTTGGTTGGTTTTGGGGGAAACCAAAGGAACAAACACAACAAACAAATGAAAAGCAAAGGAAACAAGGGCGCTGGCTAGTGGCTTTCTTGACGGGCGGTCGGAGTTTTCGGAAAGGGAAGCGCAACTGGATTTTGGTGCCCGACCCAGAGGCTCCAAGCACCTCGCAAGGTGCTTGGACCTACGGGGCTAAGGAAGCCAAAAGGAGATTGCTGAAAGAGTTGGTTGGTCCCTCATGTTTGGACAAGTTGAATCACGCCCCCCCCCCCCCCCCGAACATTGATTCCCAGACCTGTTTTGTCCTTCCTTTCCTTGTTGCCATGACTCCTTTTTGTTTTGGTTGGGTTTTATCAATTCATTGTTCCTTGGGTATCCCTGGCTTTGCATGGCTTTGGGGGGGCAGGGGTTAATTGAGAAGCGATCAGAGGCAAGGACTTTCCTTTTGAGCTAAGTGAGATCTCAAGATCTCTGGTTTGAAGGGAAGGGCACGGCTTGGTTCACAGGAAGCCAGAAGGAAAAGCTTTTTGCTTTGGATGGTGCCCTTTCAACGGTACCAAAATGAAAGCAAGAAGGGGAACCCAGAATGAATAGGGGGCTCTGGTTGATTAAACCCAGGCTTTCCATGAAACACACCTCCTTTTTGAGTCATGGGTTGACATACCCTTCCTGAAAGCTGTGGGTTGTAGGGATAGTTCCCTATGAGGATCCGAATCACCTTGTGGGAACGCCACTATAGTCCCACAGGTTCTACTTCAATCTAAACATGCGCACCTTACCCAGATCCGCCGCCAGCGAGACAAGAAGGACACACATTTGTTTGGCTGGACTTTGAAGGGACCCTCCAATCTAGGGCTTCATTCTCAACCGTTCTTTTCAAAGACCGATTGCTGTTTCTGGGCCGCTGCTGATTTTCTGGAAAGAAGGATCCCTGGAAAGAATGGAATTGGAAGTGTCCCCCTAGATCCAAGCTTAGAAAGAAACGCACCTGCCAAAAAATAGGTCGAGAACGGACAGCCGAGTGTTTGGGCTGGTCTCGAACCTGCGAGGCTGCATCGACAGCCCCTCCGAGATGCCGCTAAAGCTGCCAGGGTCCGAAGATCTGGAGGTTGGTCTCACAGGGCTGTGTTTGTGTGTGTGTGTCCGTGCAAGTGTGTTTGTGTTTGTGTGTAAGAGTGTCAGCGTGTCAGCGTGTCAGCGTGTCAGCGTGTCAGCGTGTCAGCGTGTCAGCGTGTCAGCGTGTCAGCGTGTCAGCGTGTCAGCGTGTCAGCGTGTCAGCGTGTCAGCGTGTCAGCGTGTCAGCGTGTCAGCGTGTCAGCGTGTCAGTGTCAGCGTGTCAGCGTGTGTGTGTGTGTGTGTGTGTGTGTGTGTGTGTGTGTGTGTGTGTGTGTGTGTGTGTGTGTGTGTGTGTGTGTGTGTGTGTGTGTGTGTGTGTGTGTGTGTGTGTGTGTGTGTGTGTGTGTGTGTGTGTGTGCGGAGTGACAGAATACCCTGTCACCACCTTGTGCCGGTTTTGGATCCAGGGGGCCAGCGGCCATCAAGCAAACGCTGGCCAACGAAGCTATGCTTGATGGTGGATGCACGGATTGATCACCCGTGTGTACCTGCTTTTGTGAAGTGATGTTTCTGAAAGTCCATTTGGCCCTCTTCTTTCGCTCGCTGTGTGTGCTTCATGTTGGAACTTGTAACGTTTTCGACACTAGAGTGAAGCCAAGTGACCTGCCAGCCGAACCTTATCCGACTTTGGACTTGTCAGTTGTACTCGAGACTCATCAGTTGTACTCGAGACTCATCAGTTGTACTCGAAAGACGGACGGTGGGACGATCACGAGGGCTCGCCGAGCAGCCCCCGACCCGACGCGAAGAAGCTCATCAGTGAGTGGCGAGCGGAGCTGTCGGATGTAGAGACGTAGAGGCACAGAGAACAGAGTCTCAAAAGGGAGGTGGGAGCCTGGGGCCTCTCTGTAGCCTCCGCTGGCGGGACTGCACCTCCAGCCCCCGCGGCTTGGGAGCTGAGTTTTCGGGGACTTTTGGGAGATCCCTGTGCACCACCTTTTCCGGCCACCCCTCCAAGTCAAACCTCGCCCCCATCTCCCCGCTCTCGGCGGAGGCTACCCTGTATACCTTTTCGCTCCAGGCGACCCCCCTTGACCCTGTAGGAGCCCCTGCTTTCGATCGGCTTAACCCTGATCCTAACCATAGAGGTTCGGCGCCACCTGCGTGGTAGCGTGCTTCCTTCCGTTGATTTGGTTCAAGATGTCAGGCAGCATGACTCTCTCTTTAGAGGGGGTTTCCCAAATGGATTCTATTCTACCTGACAGGCTAGCACTCGTCCGTCCAGGAAACGACCTCGTCCTGCGAAGGGTTCGAAACCTAAAACGCTGCGTGGAGGCGTGTGGCTGCAAAATAATGACCCCTAGATACGCTGGCAATTTGGCTCCAGGTTGCATTTCAAGCGAGCCAACCTTTGCAGGGCTAAGAAAAGATCAGCACTCTCCATTTGGAGTTTAAGTGTGTACACCCCATTCATGGGGAATCCTCGGGTGTACCCATTGTGTGACCCCGGGCCGGCTCTGTCGGAAAATTTGACCTCAACGTGCTTATCATAGAACGGCGGAATTTCAGATTTAACCAGGAACGAGGTTTCACCAAAGGGAAGACAGCCGTCAGATCATAGAGACGTCTCACCCTACGTTCCTTTTTTCTTTTTTCTCGCCTTCTTCATCCGCGTGCCCGTCTTCTGGTCCTTCGCCCGCTTCGGGATGGCTTCTCCTTCCTCCCGTTCTCTTTTTGCTGCTTTTCGTGACCCGCGCGTTCGTCCCGCTCCTGTTCGCCCGCTTAGGGATGGCCTGGTTGTCCTCGCGTTGTTCACCTTTTTCCTCGTCTTCGTCTTCGCGTCTGTCTTCCTGTTCCTACTCCTCTTCTTTCTCACGTAGTTTGGCTTGACGTCTTCTTCCCCTTCCGTTGCTACTTCGGGTCCGTCCTCTTGGCCCCTGTGTGGGATTCGACGTCTTTCTCCGCGAGCCTTGGTCTTCATCCTCTGTTCCTGTCTGGGCGGGATGCGTCGCCCTAAAAACGCATACTACTACTTCCCTCTTCCTCTTCCTTCTTCCTTCTTCCTTCTTTTCTCCTTTTTGTCTCCTTGCCTTCTGCTTCTTGTTCCTTCTTCCCGGGCGGGATGCGGCGCCCTAAATACGCACCCTGCTCTTTTCTTTTTCCCCCGGGCGGTTGCGACGCCCTAAATACGCTTCTGTCTCTCTCTCTCTTTCTCTCTATCTTTCTGTGTCTGTCTCTCTCTCTCTCTCTCTCTCTTTCTTTCTCTCTTTCGTCCCTTTCTTTTCTTTCCTTTCTTTTTCTTTCCCTCTCTGGGCTATCTCTTGTACTTCCTGTTCGCCCGGTTAGGGATGGCCTGTTCCTCTTCTGCCTCTTTGCCTTCGCGGCCCCTTTCGTCTACAAGGTCTAGGTCGTTTTTGCGCTGTTTGGGGTTGTTGCCCTCGGAGACCCGAAACCTGGCTTCCCCGTTGTTCTTGTTTCTTGTTTGGGGTTTTGCCCGCGGAGACCCAACTTGGGGCCTTTCTGTTTCTTTTGGGCTCCCTTGCTCCGTTTGTTTTCTGTTGGGGTCTTCGCCCGGTTTTGGGGCGCGTGGTTTTTTCTCCCCCCGAAAAAGTGGTTCTCGCCCCTCTTTGAGGGGCGTGTGTGTGCGGAGTGACAGAATACCCTGTCACCACCTTGTGCCGGTTTTGGAAGCAGGGGGCCAGCGGCCATCAAGCAAACGCTGGCCAACGAAGCTATGCTTGATGGTGGATGCACGGATTGATCACCCGTGTGTACCTGCTTTTGTGAAGTGATGTTTCTGAAAGTCCATTTGGCCCTCTTCTTTCGCTCGCTGTGTGTGCTTCATGTTGGAACTTGTAACGTTTTCGACACTAGAGTGAAGCCAAGTGACCTGCCAGCCGAACCTTATCCGACTTTAGACTTGTCAGTTGTACTCAAGACTCATCAGTTGTACTCGAGACTCATCAGTTGTACTCGAAAGATCAGCACTCTCCATTTGGAGTTTAAGTGTGTGTAAGTGTGTAAGTGTGTAGGCGTGTAGGCGTGAATGTGTGTAAGTGAAAGTGCAAGTGTGTGTGTGTGTGTGTGTGTTTGGTTTTCAGGGTACCGTGCTTTGAGGTTTGTCTAAACGGGACACAATTGTGGGGCCTCCTGTGTTTGACACCCCATATTTCTATAAGGCCTGAACAATTATGACGTCAAGGGGCTTGAAACCAAATGTCCTCATCATGGGAGAATCATGTGTAATTGTTTAGTCCCTATCATCAACAGAACCTCTGCTACAGTAGACATTCCTTACTTGCGAGCCTCCTGTTTGGGGTGATTTCATGAGAAGATAGACAACCGTTGTAGAGGTTCCTACAAAGCGAATTGCACTTTGTTCCTTTTGCTCCTAAGCATCGATGCCCCAGGGTGGCTCCCTGTGTCTATTTCTTGCGTGGATGGTTTCCAACATCAACACACCATATGGCCATTTTCAAGTTGTTTGAAACAGAGATGCCCTTTGCGATGGTCTTGAAACAGAGTTGCTTTGAAGCGTTCCCGAGTGATCAAAAAGACAAGGGTGCAATATTGTTCAACACTCGCATCACCTGGGCCAAGTTTCTACCCGATGTGCCGGGGACGAGCAATTACCCATCATTTTCTAGAGACCATCAAATTTTCTGATTGGCTGGAAGACTGGAAGTGTTTGAAAAGAAACATGTCAAGAAGGGGGAATTACAGTACAGCTACGTTGATGTGTGGGTGGTTTTGCGAATCACCTTTGGCTTTTAAAGTCTTTCTTCAGCGGGTCGACGTTCGAAATGAATATATAAGGATCAATTGTAATCATGCTGCCACTCATGTTGGACGCTGTCCACGTTCCAAAAAGTCAATGAGTTATCTCGGTCTAGCCAAAGATAGGTGTTCAAGTGAGGAGAGAGAAGTTCAATCCGTATCCTTCCCTAGGTTTTCGGATCTCTTTGATCAGAACCTTGTCCAAGAAGGTTCTTTCTCAACCTAGGGGCAGGCCTTGAGTTTGCTCCCTTGCAAAAAGTAAACTTGTTGCCAGTTCCTGGGGAACCGTCACTACAACAAAGGCGAAAGAGTATTTTGGGAGCAAAACGCAAACCAGCCAAGAGGTGGTCCGAAAACTTCATGTTCTCCTTTGACCAACAAAGGGTCAACTTGTTGCGGGGGTCGAAGTACAGTCGGTCTTGTTTTTACGTACCTCTTAGGCTGAATGTAGAAGTGTACATATATGTACACATTATGAACCGTCGTCTGAATCCTTAGTTTACTGCTGAACTATGCGTTACTCATGGCTCGATCATGGGAAGCCGGCCTTGAAAGGGGTCCAACATGGCCATGGGTTCACATGGGTATGGGTCAGAACATGGACCGCAGGTTTTGGTCCATGTTTCCACTTACCAGGGTTCCATTTGGGGTACCTATTTTTGATCCCGCAGCCACATTCGAATGTATGCACTTAGCTTTTGATAGTCGACAGGTCAACATCCTCCGCACTAAGGCGGTGCTGCGAGGTGTCGCCCAACGGCAGATACATCGCGGCCGGGTCGGATGATGCCAGGAGAAACGGGTTCGAATGATCGGGTTCCGATCGCTTGCAACAAAGCACAATCACGTGTATGTAGCATGCCAGAACCCAATTGGTCAGAACCTATGTAGGGTCGCCCAATAGGTTCCTGCACTGTACCCTGCTTGGGTCTGGATCGTTTAAGTGGCAAACAAACAGTTTGGGCTTGTTTTGGCCAATCCACTCAGGACATGGGTTCTCTTTTGAACGGTGCTTCTTGAGATGGGTGATGGCGTATGGTATGGTGTGGGTGTGAGTGAGTTTTTAACTCGCTGATGGCTCGCCAGTTTGGCCTCCAAAATCTGGCTGTCCCAAGAAGGCTTGCGACTCCATTGCCAAACAAGCGGTCGGAAGCGGCCGGCCGCATGGTAAGTTACCTGTTGGAAGCCTCAGCTTACCACGATTGGGAGGTATGTCAAGCACTGGACTTTGCCTCTAAAGGGTAAGCCCAAAGGAGGCTTATCTATTTGGAAATCCCAACTCCCAGTTTTGAGCAGGTGTGTCGCTTTTTTCCCCGCTGGCGTGTTGTGCTGAGTGTTTGCAACAATTTGCGGTTGCATTGAACACCGGTTCCCGAATTTGCCGTGGTCGTTCGGCTCTCTCGGCATGTTTCTTCACCGGTGCCACCCCCATTTGCCCAGGCAATCCCCAAAGTGACAAAGCACGCCCACTTCTCCAGCGGTGATTTTCCTTCATTGTGGTCCCTTCAATCTCGGCCAAAAAGAGGGTGTCCCTGTTTCTTTCCAGGCCACTGGAGGTCTGGGGGTAGGGATGGGAATCCCACAAAGGCAACCATGTTCCACAGCCATTTCATCTGGGTAAACTTGTTTGGCCGGAGGATTGGTTCTTGATGATTTCCATGGGATTTGTCCAGATTTGTTACCTTCTTTGGCTTAGAACTCCTTGGAAGAAACCCCCAACCAGAAGCCATTCCATGCAGGATGTACATCTACGACTTGTTGTCCTGCCAGTGCATCCAGGAGTGCGAGGCTCACTCAGGCGCGGATTCGGAAGCCAAAGGGGCGCAGACCCTTAAATGGCACCCACTGCGTGTCAGCCTATGTCGCTGCCAGGTTTTCCGTGAAGATGGTGTTATTCCCGCATTTTTCTGCAAATGAAAAATAGATAGCCCCCCCCCCAACATGCTCCCTTGAGCGGAATCAGATTGATGGTAGAATTCCTGCAGCACATATACCAGAGACTTGGCCTTCTCGGTTTGCTTCTAAATGGGGCTATTAACCCCATTGCTCGGAGTTATCCCCCCATTGCAATTGCCCAAGAGGCAGCCACGCGCGCACTTCTTCATCCATCGATACCACAATCCCACGCGGACGTGCTTATTTCGTGCGCAGGTGGCGTCACGCAGTTGCGCTGGAGCCCCGACCAGAAGCAAATCATCAGCGCCGGGAAGGATCGGAAGCGATGGATGCGACTGGAATCGTTGGCGTTTGCCTTGGGGTTTTGTTTGGGGTAGATGACACCATTTAAGGCATGGAGACTCCGGGTAGACCTGTTCCAAGAATCTGCGGCTTGAGTGCATTTGGGGAACGTTGGGAATTAGGAGGTCACTGAACGACACGGGTGTGTGTGTTTCTTTGAGTTGGTTTGGTTTAAGGGAAGCTTCAATGGCGACACCACCTTTCTGGGGCCCCCCTTTTGACACATGCCCACATGATCCAATCATGGAAGTCGACAAGGCCCCTTCTGTCCACTCCGATGATTGTGGGAAAGAGGGCAACTCACCAAGCCACGGTTGCCTTGAAATGGAGCCAGAAGGGGGTTAGAATATCTGCGGTTTAAAACAAACACGACGTTTGAATAACTTTGCAATGCAGCTCTCCCGTTGTGCCCCATGCCTTTGTTCCCTTGATGTTTTACGTGTTTCGTTGGCTAGGACCTTTCACAAAAAGGTCCCATCAACCCGGGCAGGAGGTGTTCGCCCTTAACCTTGTGCAGGGGGATCCGGCTGTGTCCCGCGACGCCCTATTTCCGTTCCTAACCGGTTGCCGGTTCCATGTTGCCGTTTCAGAAAGGCGTTCTTGCTTGTTTTGAATGTTGCCGGAATGTCCCGATTTTGTCATTTTTACTTTTTCATATGCATGGCCTTGTGGGAAAGGCTATAGGTTTCAGTTTCCTTTCGGCTGCTGACGTCTTTGGGTTGGGCAGCAACTCATTACGTAGACATAATATACTTTTACCTGCTTGTTAATGTTGGACCTGCTTTAATACTCCACCCTGGAACAGTGCCACCAGTCCAGCGGGGCCTCTTTTTCGGGGCCTCTTGTAACTTCAGTATTGCTACGAGGTACTCTCAGATTCCTAGTACGTATTTAGCTTAGTATTGCTGATTGTACATTTTGTATTGAACATACTTACTCTCAGATTCCCCGTACTTCATTTAGTAGTGACAATTCTAAGTTTAGTATGCCAAGTCTTACTCGCAAGTTTCCAGTACTTAACTTAGTATTGCCGATTCTTCTATATTCAGTATTGCCAACACTTAGTGTTCAGATTCAGTACTTAATTAGTATTGCCAATTAGTATTGCCAATCCTAAATTTAGTACTGTTTTGAGCTGGGAAGGGCTTAGGATGAACCACTCTTTGCAGGCAACAGGCTCAGGTTTTGATCTGGGATTTCCCAACCCCAACAAAAGTTGGACATTAACGCCATATAGGCTATGGAGGGAAGGAGCGTAGAACACTTGAGGGGTATATACCGTTATGGAAATGAAAACGGGGCTTCTCCAAAAGGAATCCACAACAAATTGAAGGTTGCTTTCTGAACGGACCTGATCAAGGGAGGTGCCCTTTGAATTCGGGTTCCAACCCCCGCTTGCTTTCGTAAGACCTGCCAAAACCTATACCTGGCAATTGATACACTCTTTCCATGGAAGCAGGGACCCCCCCTCCCCCCCAAAAAAAACGAAAAAAATGGTTTATGTCCTTCTGGTGCCGCTGTAAAACCACCAAAAAGTACTCAGCAAACAAGTGTCCACACCCATTTTAACAGCCGGCGGAGCAGGATGGCTGCGTGGTGGTGTGGAACTTCTTCGAGTTGTGAGCGCCGCGGCTTTCCTTCTTCCCGCCCGAAGAAACAAAAGAGTCGTATATTGGGGTCGGGGCCCGAACAAAAAAACATCCTCGGGCTCGGCAAATCGAAGGTATATTGTGTTTTTTGCTTCCTGGGGGATGTTGGGGACATACAAGGCAGCCTGATGGGACACTGAGCATTCATTTCTCAAAAGCCTTTGAAGCGCTTGGTGGACATAAAGCAAAACATGTCCAGCAAAGGTTCCCCCTTGCAACCAATGCTCAAATCATCCGACTGGACAAAAACAGACTCGCTGAAAACGCACTAGGGCCGCTCAATTGGCGCTTAGCAGAAGCGGCCTGCTAATGTCCAGCTGCGCCTCTGAGCAAGCATCGACTTAAACTGAGACTCAGCATAGATCAATGCGTGCACGGGGCCGGCTTTGCAAATCTCACCCCTTTTCACCCCAATTTGCAGAGAGCTGCTCAAAGGAGTTGCATGCTTGAGGCGGGCCAAACCGCGGCCCAAACCTCAGCACAAAGGAAAAGGAGCGTCTTGGTTTCTTTGGGCGCTGGCATCCGTTCGAAAGATTTGTTGGTGAGTCCGCCCTTTAAGGGACCACCTAATTCAAATAACAGTGTTTAGGGGTGTGCTTTAAATTGGAAGACATTGGTTTTCCAGAATGAATCCAGTTTTTTTCGTTTCGGGCTGACGTCATACTCTGACTGTTTGAAGAAAAGTAGGGTCTCCATGCAGACTTCTCATGGAGCTGGGGGAAGTGCATGTGGTAAGAACAATCCTCGACAAGCAGTCCATTTGGGTGCGCCCTGGTGTTCTGGTAGGTCCTGGTGGGGTTTTGCCATCACCGAAACGCCAGGAAGGATGTCCACGTGAAGCACATGTCACGGCTGTTGGACTATGGTGCCAACAAAAACACAAAGTATCCTTGCTCTTTGCAAGCGGCCTCTAGACGAAATCCTGTGCGAAAGCGCTGTGTCGCCCCTTCTGCTTGGCTTTTAGTACGCACTTGCTGTGTGTTTGTTTGTTTGACATCATGCACATGTGTGTATATATATATATATATATTTATGCATGCAGTACATGCATGTGTACAGATGTATTAATAGCTATTTGTACGTAAGACTTTGTCTACACTCTACGATTGCATGAGAGGCTTGTTCGTGCTCCTTTCTAACCACATCCTGCCGCAGTCTCTTCTCGAGTTCGGACCGGCCATTCAAGCGCTTGGTGTTCGAACTTCCTTGGAAGCGATGGAACATGTCAAGGAGACTCGCTTGCAAAAGCCATCACATGCCATAAATGTTTCTTTTGGTGAGATTGGCTTGAAAACGACGCGTCCATTTGGCGATTGGGATTTGCGGCTCGGAACAAAACACAGCAGTTTTGCAATGTCGTGTCCAGTTTGCTGCACTAAGGAGGTTGCTTTATTGGTTTCAGACCTCCAAAGCAACCCTGCTTTCAAGGGGTTCCTGAACTTGATAGAGGGAGCTGCGCAGTGAATCAATCCGTGGCAGAACTGGCCCGGAAAATTTCCAGCCACGGCTACCCACTTCGCGGTGTTGGTCACTTTAGAGGACAACTCTCAATGTATTTTGGAGCGCCTGCGCGACAGAGTTCGTCGCGAGAACATCGGCCACTGTGACCCTCTGCAAGAAGGGCAGAAGTTGCAGCTCGAAGGTCAAGATCATGTCGTGGTCAAGGTGACGAAGGTGAACCAGTGGAAGGATTTGAAGTCCTTCCAGGACAAGGAGGAGAAGCACGAATATCATGGAATGTGCAAGAATTGCAAGCACCTGGCGTACGATGCTTGGAATACATAGCCTGATGTCATTATGTCTTGGCATTGAAGTGGTTTCCCGTGCAGTCTGAGATGCGTTCGTTCACCTGCGTCAGCCACGTTAATAATTTCTATAAAGAAGTGACGCTTGTCATGATTGAATGTTTTCTTGTCGTTTGCCATGCTTTTGTTTCTGGCACTACTGTGCAATGTGCAACAGCTGCACATCATTGGGATTCAACTGACATTGTCGAGGATTGATGAAGATACCGGAGACTTTGGTACTTGGTGTGAGGGTGCTGAGCGCAAGTGGCATCACTGGAAGTGACATTGGGTGAGATGACTGCAGCTTCAACGAGCAAAAGAGAGCGAGCATGGTGGCCCTGCTTGGCTTGGGGCTGGGGCTTGCAAAGACCAAAATGATGTACCAGCCTTTTGGCTCGAAAGGCAGAAACCCTTGCAGGTTCCAGCGAAGTTCGGGGGAACATTCCTCGCTTTCGTGGCCCCTTTGGCCCCTGGCAAAGCTTAAGCAGAAATAGATCCTCAGGTATCCGCCTACAGATGCTACGCTGGGAGAAGGGTATTTGTTTGCAACCACATATGTCTCGCGTGCCTTCCGGCCGGGGGTTTGTGGCACGCAGACATCGTCCCGCCCATCCCTTGAGGCCAGGCGAGGCCCCACTCGAAACCAAGCGAGCGTTCGACCGATCGATCTAACCAACCCGTTGCACCCCGCACCCAACGACCACATATCCATGTATCCGCAAAGCCCGATCCTTTCAAAGAAGAAAGTAGAAGGACTTTTGTTCCAGCTTGCCTTTTCTCGGCTTTCCTTGATGTTTGCCCCTCAACCAAAAAGAATCACACAACTTTCTGGCTTGTGCGTTCCTTCATTTTGTATCGCAACAGGTGTTTCACGTTTTGCGGGGGGGCTGGGATCCATTTGGCCCCCCGGTTTATGGCTTCGTGCGCGGTCCGCTCGGATGCTGGATGTGCGGACCGCGGCCGCTGCGGCTGCCTCCAGCGCAGGCGTCAAGTTGATCTCGTTGCCTTGTCATACTGCGGATGGACGAAATCATTCCGCACCACTTTGAAACCATGGTTGAAACCAAAACGTTTGTTGGTATTTAGAAGAGAATCAACATTCCAGGGCTTCTTAGCAGGAATTCGTCCATCCACAGTAGCCGCTTTTTTCTTTTTTCCCGGGCCTGGGTGGAGGACCCTGTGGTGGGCATCGAAATTCAGGATTCATGTCCACCAACCACTGAAAAGAGGTTCCCTGTTAAAATTGACAGCCAGGTTACATTCTGACAAATAATGGGTTGGCCCTTGTTTTGAGGGTACCCTTTTTGGCGTGGCTTCAAAGACACCACCATGTTCGACGTCCCGAATTTTACGGCTCGCTGGGTGCATCCCCCCCCCCCAAACAAAAAATGAAGCATTCCCTGTGAATTGGACGCCCCTTGTTAATCAACCAAGTGTTAAGTCCTGGTTTCCCACGGCAAGAATCAAAAGCAGTGGCAGCGGACAGGTTGTGTTTGCAAGCGTCAGGCGTTGTTGGTAGGGCCCTTATTTCATGTTGGTCGAGAAAGGAAGATCCCGGTTTTTTTTTTCCCCGGGATCCTTTGCGGGGACCACGAGTTGCGACCCGCGAGCTGCTCGCTTTGCGAGCGTGCGAGGCACCAGCTTACTGCAGCTGGTGGTGCCTGGAGACTTTGCTGGCCGGCTGATCGGTAGGAAGGGCGCCAACGTGCAGGAGGGATTGAAGCGATGGGCAGAATCCGCCAAAGGCATTAGTCGGATCTCGGGATTCGCTTTTTGGAGGGTTCATCCCACAATGTTTCACAGAGCCGGAATGGGGCAACCATTCACGGTGACACGGGCTCAAGCAACTTGCCAGTTGACTTAAGGTTGAATTTTGGGGTGGCAAGTTTATCCATCATGTTTAACGCACCTTCAAGGGTGGCAGCCCTTCATTTGGGGGCAAGTGTCTATAGTGACTATATTCATTATGTATTTTGGTCAGCCAGTTTCTCCATAGTCAAGGCCCAGATGCGACTTTTCTGGGCAGGCAGATCAGCAAAGGTCTAAGTAAGCTTGTGTCACGTGATGAACAAAAAGGGCGTTGAAGCTCCCAAAATGCATTTCTCAGCGGTTTCCCTTGTCTCACTAAAAAATGTTCAAACACGATGCGCACAATACGGCAATGGGAATGAGACTACTCCAGGTTTCGGTCAGTTGAGTCCTTGAACGGGGCTGTAAACCTATCAGAGCTCAACCGGGTCTGTCTTCATCGAAATGACTAGTGCCCTTTGACGCTCGTCTCTTTGGATTTCCCTTTGTCCATTGGGCAGACCTTTCTGGGGAAAGGGATCCTGTCTGAACGTAGAAACGCCGCCTCGTGGCGGTGTTTTGGTCACCTCCAAAAGGGAGGAGCCAAAGGGAATTCCGTTCCAGGGAAGGGCAAGTGTCACAGATCCAGTTGCCATGAGCTTCTTGAAAGGGATTTACTTGTTTAGCAACAGCTCAAAATTAAAGAGCTGGGGCAAACCGCGGGTTTGAGCTTTTGGTTCCATTTACCAAGGTGCCATTTTGGTACCACTTTTTTGAGCCACAGCCAAACCAGGTACAGTTTGTTCTCCGAAGTCTGACTGTTTGTATATCACTTTTTGAGTTGCAACACAACCTGCTGGGTGTCAATTTGAAGCCTGTGCGTGTGATGTCCAAGTATCTCCACAACAGAACATGAATAGGACCGGGCTCCCATTGGCGCTCAACATTGAGATTTCCCCTGGAAGTCGCAGCAGTTCGGAACTCAAATATCACCCAACCCTGGCGTTCGAGGAGTAGGTAGGGTTTGCAGTTGCATTTGTCCAAGCAGGTTCTAACAAGTGCACCCTTTGCGTGCTGCGCAGGCAAGTATGCTTCACCTGCAAATGCAAAAACATGTTGATTCTTGCACACCTTGCGTATTGCAAGTGAACAGACAGAAAGACACAATGAAGGAAAACATGAAGCATCGAATGCACATAATGAAGGAAACGAAAGAAGCAAGGAAGGAAGGAAGGAAGGAAAGAAAGAACAAAATCACAGACACATTAGCAAATGTTCAAGCAGAGCAACCATCACTTTTTACTGTTTGCGCAACTCCAAAACACTATGCTTGCTCGGCCCGGAAGGAGTTGCAATCCCGTACCGACCTCAGACTGGACTAGAGTGGCGAAACACAAGGATCGTATTCACTCCCTGAGTTCCTGGACTTCCAGCTTTTTTGGGAAGACCATGCCCGTGGCAGGCAAAAAGTTTGGACTTTGTTTTGCAGTCCATTCCGCATATGAGCCATGTTAGTGGGCAAATTTGTTTGTTGTTATGTTTCCCAGCTGTTTAATGAGCTGTACAGACCTCGAGGACTCTGAATTTCCCCTTGGAATCGGAGTAGCCCCTACATGGGCCAGCTGGTTCTTGTAAAGGAAGTGTGGAGCATGAGCAGCGTTATTTGTTTGTTTGATTGTCCCTGGTTCCCAGCCATCCCCTTAGCTTGTTAGCTTTTTAGTGTTTTAGGGGAGTTTCCATTTGACCTACGAACAGTTATTCACTTTTTGCGGGACCTGAAAACGGGCAGCCCAATCCAGGGTTCCGCTGAATTTACGTTTGCTTCGAGTCGGCACCCACCCGAAAATTCCAATCGGACCACCCACAAGACTTGAATCAATCAGCCCGCCACCATACCAATGAACCAAGCCACAAAGTTTGAGTCGGCCTTCCTTTCCCATGGCTGGTGGATCAATAGGGGTTGATCAGTATTCCCGGCCCCCGAAAGAACCCTGAAACACTTTTTCCCATCTGGCGAGCGTCATCTTCTTAGCGGTCTTCCCGAGTCGCCCTACGTGTCATCTGGCTTTCCTTTTGATCAGCCCCCCCCCCATGCGATGCGAGCGAGGGCGTCTCATTCGACCCGAGTGACCCGAGACTCGGATCGATCCGAGGCACCGGGGCGCGCGTGCAGTTCTCGGACCTGGGCCAAGAGCAGTTGGTGGAGGTGGGTTTCGAGTGTCCGTGTCCTGGGTTTCTCCTCGTGCGTTTTAGACTCGGGCGGTCCAAGACCTGCGGGGGTTCCCGCACCTTTGTTCAACTGGAGGAGGTGGGCCGTGTTTTGTTCGAGCTGTTGGAATTTGGAGATGGCTGTTTGAGAAAATGGAGGGCTCCTTTAGCCCATGTCAAGTGATGAGAAGCCCAGAGCCCCCGACAGGTCCTGCATGAGGCAGCCCATCAAACCCCAGATTTGGGGCTTTCTCGCGCAAGCAAACCAAAATAGGCGTCCAGAGGGGCTATTTTGCTTTTCCCTTCAAAAAGAGCCGGCCAAGAGAAGGCTTTACTTTTTTCTCCTAGAAATCCCACTTGAGGTCTGAGAAGGTCTCTTTGGCAGGTTCCCAAAAATTATCCAAAGGACCAGCGGAGAGTCGGGATATTGAAGTGGCAAAGCTTAGATCTGATGATTGAGAATCCCCGGAGCAACTCGGTCAAGGAGCAGCCATGCCTTTGGGGGCGTAGCTGGATTCGCTACTGATCACGGTGTCAGACATAGAATGTGCAAGTGCGATGAGACTATTGGAGGGTGCCGGATGCAGCCCAGCCATGCATTATTTCGATTCGGTCAAGAGAAATCGCACTGCACAGAGGGTTTGGTTTTGCCAGCCCACCCAGGAAGGCCTTGTGCATTGGGATCTTTCTGTTTTTGGCTTGGTGCATCATTGCGGCAGGATGAATATCGGCGATGTGAGCAGGTCAGAAGCGCATTTTGTGGTTGAGTGGGCCGCACCTTTCCAGCTTTTTCATTTTCTTGCCCACTTGGGGGTTGTTTTTGAGGTGGATGTTTGACACTTGCGGGATTTTGCTAAAGTTTGTTTGGTTATTGTTGAGGTTTCTTAGTTGGAAGTATGATTGGACCCTGATGTTTGAACAGAGAAGCGAATTTTAAGGGAGCGCCTTATCGATGTTTTTGGCTTAGAACTCCTTACAGTTGTGTTTTGAGTGTGGTTTTGGCTTCTTTTCATTCGGCGCCCGTTTCGGAAAGCCATGGGTCGTTGAGAAACCGAAAGAGTACGTCGCTAGGTGTCTGGAGCCTGCCCATGCGTGCGGGCCCATAGTCTTGAGATTCTTGGGATCCAGGGCCGCGAGCAGGTAACGCGGGAACCATTCATGTGTGTTTGTTGTTGGGGTGGTTCCATTGGTTACTTACAGCAAATGGAATTACAGGGCTAAGCGAAGAAGTTTGAATGGGGCCGTGGGCTTTAAACATCAAGTTAAGTCGAGATTATACATATATGATATGTGTATTTTGCCCCGTATATCACCCTGTTTCCAACAATCATTGGCAATAGCTTCCTACCACCAGTCCGGTTTCATGCAACTGTCCACAAATCAGCTGTAACCTCCAAGATACCAACATGGAGCTGCGCAGATGCTTGGTCCCGTTGTGAAACATGGACTTCCAGAGCCTCTCTGTGAGGTTCCATGTTAGTGAGTGCAAGGGTGGCGAGCTTGCGGAAACATCCCTGGAGTCCCTTTGTGGTAGGAAGTTGCTCCCCAAACTAAAGTAAAGTGACAATAAACTTTCTTTCAGCAGTCAAAGGAACACCTTTGGCATCAAGGCCTGATTGTAAGGATCAAGATGGGCCCCTTTTGCCAAGTTTTACGTTGGTTTCTCTCCAAACCATGGATGTACGTGTTCATGAAGGACAACCGTAGTGCTGCACTCGTTGTCACGAACTCTCCGAATCGTGGTAAAACGAGTGGTTCCATCCATGATGAATGTCCCTTACTCCGGGATTCCTCAATTCAAGTTGGTCGATTATATAGCGCAGAATCATGGAAGAGAACGGGGCGGCTTTGCAAGAGGACTGCACCTAGGTGATTCCCCACACTTGAGTCGTGCAAGAGGACCGGCTAGGTGATCTTGGTGGGTTGCTCCAAACCTATCAAACCACAAGGGAAATTGGCAAATTGGTTGAGCCCAGTGTTCTTTTCCCGGCCAATGTTCTACCTCTCGGGCCTCTCGAATGGGAGAGGCCGGGAGGTTCGGAGCTGAGAGAACTGATGGACATGGGGCTTGGTGACCAGACCCAAGTCCCCTTGGCACATCCAATATCCTTCCATTGTATTTGTAGTTGTATGATATACATACATTAGATTACATTACACTTCAATGCATTGCAGTACAGTTCATTGCATTACATGCATGCTAACATAATATATATATATATATATATATATGTGTATGTGCATACCCCAGGTGATTTTCCATGGGTTTGTGAGGTGGATGCTGCCTGCTCCCTGCTGGTCGCGGATTTGGCCAGGATCCAGAAGCGGCCCGGCCGGTCTACGGACATTGTCTTTCTCTCGGATTCGGACCCCCCAAAAAGTGGGTCGTTTCTTTGAGTTTTCTCTACGATCATGCCAAATGGCTCAAAAGCTCAAAAACATGTACCAACATGGCACCTTGGGAAATGGAACCAGAGACTAATAAAAACCAGCGTAACGCTGGCTCTTTAGTTTTGAGCCGCACCCAAATGGGTGCCCTTGAACAAAAAGACACATGTTTATTCGTTGAATTGGTTCAATGGATAGTCGTGTTTAGAGTTTGAGACTTATTTTGAGAAGCGCTATTTTGACACTCACCCGAGTTGCCTTGGATCAAGCATGGGCCCTCGGAGGACACACCCCATTTTCAATCCGGGGTCCTCACATGTCTGGGAAAGGATTCCTCTCACTTCTCCCGTTCTGGAACTAGTTTTATGATGGATTTATGGCCCTTAGCACGTTTTTCGAGAGCAATTGGGTGGGAAATGTCATGACCTCTAGCCTAGCAGGCTGCTGCCTGCCCCGCTTCAGCCTCCTTTTGGGTTAGGCTCTCCAACCGATACTTCTGGGTAATCCAAGTCATCCAAAGAGCACTTCCCTTCAAACTTGTCGCTTCTTTCTGTGCCTCTTTGATTCCTGTATGGATGTCTCTCACAATAGCGGCCTAAAATGGGTGGTGTCTTCACGGTTTCCCTTTGAATCTCTGTTCTGGCTGCAACAAGTCCCAACTCGCCCCTTTCATTGTAAACGGTTTGGATGCTGCCGGTGGCGCCCTTTAGATTTCATGCTGGATGAGCTGCACATACACATCTGTTGCTTGACCTTTTCAGTTGGTGACGCCCCAAGCTTTGAGCATCGAGCTTGCCTGCGCATTGAATTGCCAGGGTTTGCCTTTCGACGCCCCTGCCCTGTAAACATCCACCGATTAAGGGAAGCCATTGTAGCCTCATTGGGGCAGGGGTCAAGATCTTCCCATGGCTTCCCTTGCGACTCGGCTCTGAAGTAGCGGAACGAGAACACTTGGCTGAGGGGGTCAAGTGCTCCTTGAGAGGGGTTGCACTTTCTGAGAGTAAGGTGGCACAAAGCAAGCCTTGTCAGCCGAGGCTTCAGATTGCCGGCCGCTCCGGCTCGCCTTTGCAACGCCTGAGTTACGCCTTTGCCGGGGCAACGCGGCAACCAGGGGTCTTTGGGTCAAACTCCTGGCAAAAGATACAGGGGACGATCGATGACTCCGAAATCCAACTGTTTGACTTCTGGGGTTCTCAAAGTCAGAAAACCATGGGTTGTTTCCCTTTCACCCACCACTCTTGGGGGATGAATGTATGGGCTCACTGAAAAACGTCTTCAGCTCCCGTGGTTCGCAGGCTGCAAGCTGGGCCTGCGCACGCCGGAGGTGGAGATTTGCGCGCTGATCCCGGAGGAGCTTGCCATGAACAATGAGTTTTGTGGACGTCACGGGCGGGCCATTTGGGGTGCTGTTCATGAAGCCCAAAAAAACGCTCCACAGCTGTTCATGGAGACCAAGTGGGAAGCCCAAGGGAAGCTCTGCAGGGTCAAAGCAAGCGAAGTACTGGCACAGGCCATGGTTGTGTGTGGTGGTTTTGTGAGGGAGAATGCCTCTGCTGGGGGTGCAAAGGGAAACTGAAGAGAAACACAAGCGTTTTGGAGTTGGGGGAGGGGGTTCCACCATGGGTTTGTCTCAAAGAGGAGCCTCCAAAGTTGTACTTTTCCCTTTGGCTTCCTTTCGAATTGGCTTCTTTTCGAAACTGCCCGAAACAGGTACCCTCAAAAGACAAATGTAGAGACCGCTCCCAACAGCATATCGGAGCACTGGTGGTTTGGTTCCCTCCATATAGACAGGGCGCTCCTGATTTTCGAACACTGGCAGGGATGCAGGGACTGGGGGAAGCAA